GCCATATGAAAGGCGTTGAATACGACTTTAATTTAGCTGAGGGAGTGTATAATGTGCATCTTGCCAGTTCTCCATGAACTCTGAATTGGTTACTATTGGCATTGAAGCTCATGTTATCATGCGAAACAATAGTAATCCATCGTGGGCGTCGTGTTATTGAAGTCTCATAGTCAGAATATCTGCTTTGCAAATTGTCTCTCATCATGAAAAGGCAAGAAATCACCCCTGAAATTTGAGCCACAAGCAGGACTACCATGCAAGAAAATTTCTCCCATAATCTACAGAAGAATCAGCACGACTTCTGATCCATCCGCAAATCCAGATGAGCTGAGTAGTTCACAAGATTGATACGCCGCAATGTCGGCAGGCCTTTACTTTGACCGCTTGCTCGAGAGTAGGCCTGGTTATAACAGACACTTGATGTTTTTCTGAACGCCTTCACCAATCCGAGACCAAGAAATTGTGTCGGGGGATAGAAACCTCAATATACAGACGAGAAAGGTATCTAGTTTTCTTTTCATATCGACACGAAGCTACTTGGCGCCATGTTATGATACATATCTCCCCTCATCCCCAAATTATCCAACTTTCTTCTAGTATGAAGATGATTTTACCGTAAGACCTTGGTATCTCTAATTGAATGAGTTCAGTTGATTAGTGGGTCCTAGAATTAAAGGAAAACTCATTTTGAATCCGTACAGATGACATGAAAAAAACAATCATGTCGAGGGAACAGTGATAACGTGACTGTCAAATTGTAAAACTGGAAAGAGAAAATGCAAGTGTTTCGGTAAGTGGTAAATTGCTGATCTTTCACCGCCTTATTTTGACATGGCGGGGGCGGGGTCTTTCCGTAAAATTTTATTATCAAAACAAAACCTTGTTGGTGCTTTATTAACCATTTACCCACGTTTATATTCACCCTCTCGCCCTTGCCTTTAAGTGTACACTCACAATTCAATAAACCGATTACATTAGATTGTGTACTTTTGTTTCTTTTTCTATATATAGAAACTGCCAAACTGCATATAAACACAGCATTCGTTTATCTTGTTTTCACTTCGCTCTATCTGATTCCGATTTCAAATCCATTCCCATTCCCATTCCCATTCCCATTCCCATTACACATCGAAATTCCTCATCCTCACCGAAATCCAACAAACACCAGACAGGTCAAAGATGGCTGGCTTAGAGGCCATTAAATATGGCAGAGGGAGACTAGAAGTTTTAGATCAGTTGAGACTTCCGCATGAGTTTGTTTATGATAATGTCTCTACTTGCGAAGAGGCATTTGATTCCATCAAGTCGATGCGCGTGAGAGGTATCTACTGCTCCGTTGTTGGTGAACATGATGAGCTTTGATGGCTAAGTGTTTTATCAGGAGCCCCAGCAATCGCGATTGTGGCAGCTCTTGCGCTGGCCGTAGAGCTTCATCATAAGAAAGATGGTTGGTACTTCATATAGACTAATTTAATTGCATGTGATAGCTGGCTAACACGGGTTATCTCAGATTCTAAGACGAAACAAGAAACTGTCCAATACATCAACAAACGTCTCGATTATCTCTTGGGTAGTAGACCAACCGCCGTCGACCTCTCAAATGCTATCAAACTTCTTAAACGGGTCTCTCAAAATGCGGCACAAACTACAGATGCAACTGATGACAATGTTGCCTGTGCGGATGTTCGAAATGGATATATTGTTGCAGCAGAAAAGATTTTAGAAGACGATCTTACTACGAACTTAGCAATTGGCAGATATGGAGCAGAATACCTAAGACGACAACAGATGCCAATTGGAGAAGAAAATCATGACGATCCATCCAAATTCTTTACAACAAGTCCGCCATGCACACAAGGGGCAATGGACAAGACTTATAGAAAGTTGAGTGTTCTCACGCACTGCAATACTGGGTATGTCTACTACTTGAATCTTTCTGCTTGTCGAACAAGGCAAAAATACTCACATTCTCTTTAGCTCTCTAGCTACTTCAGGTCATGGCACCGCCTTGGGTATAATCCGCAGTCTGCACAAAATGAATTATCTAGACCACGCCTATTGTACTGAAACTCGTCCTTATAACCAAGGTTCCAGACTTACTGCCTTCGAGCTTGTGTACGAAAAGATTCCCTCAACACTCATCACAGATTCTATGGCTGGTGCTCTATTCGCCCGGATGAAAGACATTAAAAATATATCTGCCGTCATTGTAGGCGCAGATCGCGTAGCGCGTAACGGTGACACCGCTAACAAAATCGGAACCTATTCTCTCGCAGTTCTCGCAAAGGCTCACAACATCAAATTTATCGTTGCTGCACCTACGACAAGTATAGATCTCGAGACAGCCTCAGGAGCAGACATAAAAATCGAAGATCGCGCTCCAACAGAGCTTACTCAAATAAGCGGAGCCATAGTAGGGAAAGATGGGCATGTGGATGTCAATTCGACGGCTAGGGTGGCCATCGCCCACCAAGGAATCAATGTTTGGAATCCAAGTTTTGACGTTACGCCAAGTATGTATATTGATGCAGTCATTACGGAGAAGGGAGAAGTAGTTAGAAGTGCACAGGGCACATTTGATTTCAAGGCAATCATGCCAGAGAGGTGGGCACAGCAAGTTGAGGGGAAAGAGCCAAGTGTTGGAACGAATGGAAAGGCACAGGTTGATGACGGAGCACTTTTCCAAATGGAACACATTTGAAAAGTCAAATTCAATCACATATCTCTTTAAGAAATAAACACATTGCTTCACTTTTATTGTTTTAGTCTGTTTAACGTATATTAGTATATCATTTTCTCCGACTCATTTAGAAGTTCGCTTAAAAGACTATTCGCTCTCGCCTAAATTGCTTCTCCTAGAAGTATTAATCATACTCTTCTTATTGCTAGGCACTAATCAACTCGAACTATGGAAAGGTTCCATTGCAAGAGCTTTTATAAAGAGTAGACTCATCTTGTCGATATTAATTCGGGATATTTGTACACAATTTCTAGTCAATCTTATGATTTCAACGTGTCTTTTATTGCCTATTCAGATGATCAATCGATTTCTATTGATTCTATTCTATATTCCAATCACTTTTCCTTCTGGAAAATTACAACTCAAATTGCTACAGTATCGTTACCATTACCGTTCTGAATGCTCAGCGCTATAGCATTATTGTTTCTTAATCGTAGAGGATTGTATTTGATATCTAGATTGCTGCTTTGTGTAGAGACTTTCTGGTCGTGATTATTTGTTCACTTTGGTGTTGGTATCGTGTAGGTAGAGATTTCATATGCTACGTAGAAAGGGTTAATTCCGTATGTCTAGTGTATTAATCAGTATTGGTTAATCACTAAGTGAGGGAGAGAGAGAGAGATCTTCTCTTGAACGTGTAGTCGTCGTGTGATAGTGAAGTTACAATGATGAAAATAGGGACATGTCGTTGATAAATTGTGTGCGTTTAGGTATCTAGGTACGTACGTGTATTTCCTACATAGGGATATATAAAACATACCGTGTATGAATTCTTAACTAAAGTAACTGGGATAGGTATACCTATATAGTGCATAGCTTACTTTCGATACTACTTATCGTTTGTTGTAATAGATGTAAATGCTTTTTTAGTTTGGTGCTTTTGTATTGTATTGTATTATGTTATATTATATCTATCTCCTCGCTTTATAAGAAGAAGAGTAGAGATCTAGTGATTACTATTATACTACTACTACTACTACTCCTACTCCTACTCCTACTCCTACTCCTACTACTAAAATCGACTCAAGTAGATATCATATTATCACATACCTACTCATACTCATATATCCAATCCAATCCAATGCAAACCAACCCACTCAACCCAAACCAAACTAAGCCACCAAATCCCACTCCCCACTCCCCCTTCCTCCCCTCCTCACACAAAAACCCCCTCTATCAAGATTCAAACCTCAAACCCTACACTCACAATCCCATGTATGCCTCACTTTCCACTCTCCCAACTCCCAACTCCCAACTCCCTATACACACATATATATCTTCCACAAGTTTGAGATCCAAGTCCGAGATTTAAAAAGGGATAGAAAGACCGACCGACCAACCGACCAACCGACTGACAGACCGACAGAAAGAAAGAAACAATTCTCTTTCACCATTTCATCTTCACCTTGAATCTAAATCATGAATGTAGAGGTCAACAGTAAACAAACATCCCCCATCACATCCAATATCCATTCCAATCAAAGTATAACGATAGCCTATTTGAATATACATACATGTCTACGTATATCACATATATCTATCGACCTTCAAATATCTACCTACCAACTAAAAGATAATCTCAGAATTTTCACGCCCATTTTTTGTGTACTCTCTCAATAAGCAAGCTTGGAAAAAATATATCATTGAATATCAAAAGGGTATTGAATTCCAAAAAAACACACGGCATAATAAAACAATATGCATAGTATTGCAGAAGATCTCCCGCATCTAATGTAATAATCATTAAGAAACGGCTTCGCTTCCGATCTCTCTCTCTCTCTCTCTCTCTCTCTCTCAACGTGGCCCTAAAGTATCCTTTTCCTTCAGTCCATCGCTCCAATGTCCTATGTACATCGATCGTCACCTAGATATAGAATATTTTCGCTTACAACCAAAGAGTAAAAATATATATCCAAAATTCGACAATCATCTCCTCGTTACTAAATGCCCTGAAAGTTCTTTTCGGGAATCCATCCATATTCGACCATCAATCCAGTTTACCTTTAAAATCATGTTTGGAATCATACAATGCAGTCTCATGTCTAGTAACAAGGACAGGTATGCCATAAAAGACCTTTTGAGAAAAACACATTCATGTGTATCCTCCATGTCCCAACGACTCCAGGCTCCATTCAAAACCCAGATCCCGTACGCCAAAAAAGACCCCCGAGAAAAATTTCATGCAAACATATCCGTTCTCAATCTTCCATATCTACCAAAAGCTTCAAGCCATCTGAGGGATTTGAAAATCTACCAACAATCAAAGTTGTCTCTCGCGGCTGTTACGATTCACTATTTCTCCAGCTCTCAATAAAGCGTTGATAGGATCCAGGTCGACCTCTTCCCCGGTCAAACCGTAATTATTGATTGGCTGAGCATGCGGATTATCAATTGACCGTTTTTCGGGTCTCGCCACGTCGGATCGGCCAATGGTACTACCCATAGCATTCGAGATACTTTGGGGAATTTCACTATATCTTCGCATAGGCGGCATTGTGGTCGGGAAATCCTGCGGTTGATTGACTACTGAATTTGATTAGCCACTAGTAACTACGAAATCGATGAAGCAAGATGGGAAAAAATAGTTTGCCACAAACCTTTCGGTGACTGCTGACTACCAAGTAGCGAGTTTTGGGGTGATAAGGTTGGAGGCGCCGATAAAAATGATAAATGCCCTTCGTAGTTTCCGGATCTTGACGGATATAATGTCGGGATCGGAAGAGCCCGATTGAAATCTGGTTCTATAGGTGTCCGAGGTCCACCGTACATGGAAGAATTACTGTTTGTGGAACTAGTAGATTGCACCGTTGATTCCGAAGTTAGTGATGGTGGCGTAGGATTCAGATTACTTTGAAGATTGCGGCGATGTTGTTTCGAGTCGTTCATAATCGAATGCGGATCTTGTAGGGCGGCAGTGATAGGACTTGATTGACTGAAGCGCCTTTCGCCAGTGGCTGCGTGTGATGTTTGTTTCCCATTGGTACCTTCCTCGCGATGATCCTCTCGCCAATGGTGCGCTCCTGACCCCAGCATAGACTCACGATAACCAGGGAGGACTGTTGGCATCTCAATTGGTGATCCTGAATCCATCCTTCCCTGTAGCCCTGTCACTTTTGGATTATTTTGCACGGCTGACAAGTTAGATGCCGGCGTCAACGCAGCGGAGGAGGGTGAAGTTGATGGACGCCATTGAGACATCGAAGATGCGGAGGAATCTACACGCATACGACCCATAGAAGAATCCATACCAGTTTGACTACCGCCACTGCTTGCTGTTCCGCTGCTTGCTGTACTCGCATGGGCTTCGAGTTTGGGTCTTTTCGAAACATCCATCTCAGTCGCTAATTGTTGGTTTTGCTTCTGTTTAAAGTCGGCGAGGTATTGCGAATAGTCTTTGAAACTTTGCGTCTTCTTGTATTCGGCCAATTCATTATTGTAACGCTCTTTTGCTGTGTATGCCTGGTGCTCATATGGTTCCTTCTCGCTTGGGGATAAATTCTGCCAGTTTTCGCCGACCAACTTGGCGATCTCAGTGAACGACAAGGCACGTCCTTTCAAATCTTCGCGCATTTTGTTTGAAAATATAACGTATGCCGAAGGAGGCCGCTCTGGTGCACTCTCGTCTGGTTTGGGATGTCTCCTATACTTTCTCTTTGCTCCATGTGGCCCACTACTCGCCTCCTTAGCATCTCTCCCTGCTGCTTTCGGTTCATCTCCATGAGTATCGGGTGTTGTGCTAGTCGGAGATGCAAGAGCCCTATCCGATGATAGACCCCTTGAATTAGCGATCTTCCTCTGGAGTCTCCGACGATGGCCGAGTTTCACGCCGAGAGCATCGAAGTCGGATTCTGTGATGTCAAGTATTGTATCCCATGTATCAAACCCCTGCTCGACGAAGTTGAGGAGGTAATGAGAGATGCCCAACTCCGCAAAGATTTCCGACAACTCAGTCGTCATACAGCAGGCTGCCTCTGGATCTTTGTGTCCAGAAATATTAGTGGGAGGTTTTCCAATTTCCTACGATAAGATGCCCTTTCCGCCTGTGACGAAGAATTCTTTTTGTGTTTCAAATTGCGGATTTCTGTATGAATTTCTAGCTTCGAGGCTGTGTTTGATATTGGATCTCTCGGAAGGTTGCTGAGATGTAATCTCTCTTTGTAATGCCAATATCCCGTTCCTTCATAAAGCGATTGAGAGGAGAGAATGTCGTCGAAGGAGTGAGGATCAGATGCAATATTGACCATGAAGGTTTGTCAACTCTCCCGTCCTCGTCATGTAGTTTCAGTGTTCAAGGGTTGATTGACTATTGGGATACGAAGACAAATATGAATGTGACTCGAAGTGTTGTAATCTATGAGGATGGTATTTTAATGTGTTACTTCGCGGAATATGGTTGAATGACAAGAGCTTGGTGAAAGCGGGATCAGATGAAAGGATTGATCTCGATCAAGATACTTGGACTGCTGCTCTTCCTGCAATGCGTTACTTCACATCAGTATTAGCCAGAAATTCATGCGGGGCCTAAAACATAGTATTCTCATAAATATTCCTAGGTGCCATGCGAGATCGACGGTGGCTTATGGATGTGACTGGTGGAGGGGCAAGCCTAGGGCAGGCAAATGTTTGAGAAGTATGGAAGTATACCTGCTTCGGAGAATTGAAGAATGGCTAGGTAGTTGGAGAGTGCAAGAGTACCTCAGCAGTGGGTCGTGAATCTTGAATGATTGTATGAAAGAATTTATTCCCACGGTGGAGTAATATGAAGATGAGAGCTTGTGGCGGAGAGAAATCGATTTCGGTATAATTCTAGGACTGTGTAAAAAGGTGGACAGGACAGGGTGATGGATGGGTAAAGAGAAGAACGGGATAGATGCGATCGATGCGATAGATGCGATTCATTCGATTCAATCGATGCATGCGTATATGAGCGAGCGCTAATTGAAGAACAGAAGAGACTTTGAATGGGTATTCGGGTATTGGAAATTGTGTAGTGAAGATGTACGCATGTATGGTATTGGAAGGGATTGAATGGCGCTGTGATATAAATATCAAGTAGCGGCGAATGATAGTATCTTGAGAGAGAAGTATAAATAAATGATGAATGATAAAAGAGAGAGAGGGGGGGGGGGGGAATAATGAATCAAGAATTACCCAAGAAGGTATATAAAAAATATATAAAAAGAGATTCAAGGAAGAAGAAGGTTTGAGAAGGGTACTATAAACAAACAAAATTACTGAATAAATGAAAGAAATAAAATAGAATAGAATAAAATAGGCGTCTTCGTTGCTTATGCCTGAATGGATTTTTTGGGTGGTGTTTTTCTTGTTTTTTTCTTCTTTCTTTCCTTTCCTTTCTTGCTGGTACGGAGAAGGTAGAGAGATCTCGAGATCTGGGTATAAATGTCTATATGATGAGTGGATGAAAGTAAGTCGAATGAGTGGGTTTGACAATAGGAACTAGGCGTGGAAGAGAGGACTGAGAGGACGACCAAGAACCCAATAAATTGATGATCAATAGAATGCGAGCTTATTTTACAATACTAGCAGACTAGGTACCGGGTAGGTGAGGGTACGAGAGTCCAGTACTGTATCAGAGGTGGAAAGGATATGAGGCGAGTGAGGCATGAGGTGAAAATAATGAAGAAAGGAAGAGAATTTTCCAAACAACTGCACCGTGGACGGTTGTCATCGAGATTCACCTGGCTGACTCATCACACTTTGACGATGCAGGGACGGGGAATTGGGGCAAATGGCATTGGGAAAAAGAAGCAAGAGAAGGCAGAGAAGCACAGTTCACCGATGCCACATTTGTTTTCTCGATTCGCATTCCGAGAATCATCAAACGCTAAAGGAAATGGGATCCCGTTGGGAAAAAAATTCCCTAATTTTTTTCCTTTCTTTTCTTTTCTTTCTTTTCCCGCATTTCTCGAACTTTCATCCTTTCCTATTTGGGTAAGGAATTACTTATTGGGTAAGTGAACAAAACTGCCTAGATGTTTTGACGATGAAGTATTGTATTACCCGGTATTGTGGATGTATGAACTAGAGACAGTACTGAGGTCGGTAGGTAGGTAGATAGGTAGATATCGGTAGGTACATTCATCTCCTTACAGCCGCGCACAGAGGAGACGGACGCATTCTACCGGTCTCCATTCACTCATTGGCTTATTGTACGGACTTTTACCATCATAAATCCTAATAATATACCTTGGACACCCAGTCGATATATAGATACATAGATACGTAGATACAGCAGCACATGAAGACGTAAATACGTAAATACGTAAATACGTAAATACGTAGATACGTAGATACGTACTACCTGGTAAAAAGCATCACCTGCATGCATCGTACCAAATATCGTGATTTATGAGATACGACTAGGTAGCTACATTGGATATATTAGATATTTGAAAATTGGACTATCTCCGAAGCGTCGTTCCATATTAGAGAGTTGTCGATACATATCGTACATACTTGTAGAATACTACGTACCTCTCTACCTATCTGGCATCTACCTCCCTCATCCTCCCGACCCTCCGAGCGACTTCCACTTCCCCAGTCAGGTTATTGTTAGCACCCATAAAGTTATACCAGACACCCAAAACTTCTACTCAATGTGGTTAGAGAAGTACAATATAAAGATGGTAGGCATCTAGATCTCAAGGCAGTAATTCTAGAGCTTTCAATCTTTCCATCTTTCCATCTCTCATGTCCCACTCTCACTCTCACTCTCACTCTCAACCTCTCTCTTCCATAAATTCCCCGATATCAAGGTTCGATGGCAACTGTGAAACAACTGTGTGGCGACTACTCTTCATCACCCAGAGATTCAACGCCGATGTAAAAGAAGTCATCGAGGATGGCTGGCTGGATGGATGGATGGATGGATGGATGTGTAAGATTGGGACTCAATCCATACTACTTACCCCCCTACCTCCACAGGACGGACCTAGGTAGATGATATAAAAGGCAACAGGATTGGCGTGGAGGAGGATAGAATGACGATGTTTCGTGGCCGTGTGAATACCGGTAGTTGGGTTAGTGTGGATGAAGTAGGGCCATAGTTCATTGTAGACCAATCGATTTTCCAATCGTCGATGTAGCTTGCTCACTTGAGTCATCGCGGTCTACCGTATTTTCACAAAACGGTCACTATCGAATACTTTTCATGTCATCACGACTAGGGATGGATGATATTCACGGCCTACACATTTATGCTCGAAACTCAAGCGAAGCAATTTGTGGATAACTTTCCGTGGTACCTAGGTATGATCACAATACCATCATGGAGTTGATGGATTATCGTATTCATGGGAATGATAGCCCTCATTGATGGATATCTAGCTCAGTAACCCAATAAGCTTATTCGTAAGAAGTGTACGGAGGTACCAACGCTCATCGCACATCAAAACACCGACATTCGGATTTGATATCCGTTTCTCCCAAATGGCATGATGAATCGTGATTGACAGATAGTTACAACACTCACTGCCCCCAGTGCCCAGTGCCCAGTGCCCACATTCAGATGTGATACCGAACATCCACCCACCCACCCACCTGCAATGCATGGCCGGAGTCCGTACAACTAACAATTTTCATTAGCTGGGTAGGCCCGAGGTAAGATCTCCCGTTCAAAGTTTGTTCCACCGGTGCAAGGTATTTGTTTGAAATATGCCCTTTTTTTTGGTCGTCTAATTGTTAATCATTTTCAACTCGTTTGCAATTCCTCCTTTGATATGTTCGGCTCCATCCTTCCGTAGTCTCTACCTACCTACCAGGTAACATCTTCACATCACCCAAGCAGTAGACGGGGCAGTCTACTATTTAAACTTTCCTTCCCTTTTAACTTCCACGTGTATTCCATACTAAATGTTGTCTAGTGAGGGAAAACTGTTTGGCCCCATCAAACCTTTCAAAACCCTCTCACATCCACGCTGTCAAGAATTATACTTTTATTCCATTACTCGTGACATTATGCAGGTGGTGGCACCCAAAACTTAATAAAATCATCGTTTTGCCAGGACGTGCGCAGAGTCCCAGAAGGTGCCACGGTCTGCCAAGCAAGCAAGCAAGCAAGCAAGCAAGCCATCGAACGGTTAGGGAAATGGGATCTTTCAGATAATCTATCTATTCACACATCCATATCCATATTCACATTCATTTCCATATCGCTCTTGACTCTCTTTACCTAGATCCCTGGGTACACCCAATCATGAGAAAGACAGTGAAAGGATGACATTGGGTTACACAAGATGAGAGAAAGACGAAAGTCGGGGTCGGAAACTTTCTCCTACGAATAAATGCGATCGGTGATCTGAGAGAGATCCTTACATTGTTGCTGCAGTAATTACCTTTGATCTGTGTCGGCATCATGGGTTTTATTTCATTGCTTATGTTGGGGAGTGTATACATGAATGCCACTCTTTGCAAGATTACCAAGTATAAGCAATGAATGACACCTGGGCAAGATAAGGTGATGCTGAAATGTCCCATGAAACATGGCATTATGGTACGATGCAAAAGTTTAATCCTTTGTCCCCCCATTTATCCATCTGCCCATTTGCACATTTGCCCATGGACATCAACAGAAACCCCCATTTACCTACGAAAGATCTCGTATCTACCCCGTCCATCAAAGTCGACACCTGCTTTTCCATTTCGGGTCCAAGCGAAGTTATCACATTCCCAGCTCAAAACGATCCGATTGCCGACGCCAAGTAACTAAGCACTAGGCAAGCACTGAGCTGAGCTGACCATCAAACCGCCAACTTATCGATAACGCACCGTGCTTCCGAAACTTCCCAGGTCCCAAGTGTTCCTCAGAACGATAATTCTATGAAAATCACAAACATAATGTCTTCATCCAACAATCACACAAAGGACGTTTCCGAAAATGGTGATGTTGCCACCTCAGAGGCAGATTTAGCCCAGGTATGTTGATCAATATTACTCGATTTCCACATGTTCTGCTTTCTTGAGTCATTTCACCACCCAAATGTGTTTGCATACCTGCGCGTCCACATACACCGTACAGGCGCTTCCTGTCCGTTCGCAGATTCCCGTGTGATCCATCATGTACTTCTAGATTCCCTTACCCTTTTCCCATGGGCATTGTCAAAAATTTAATGCGAAAATGCGTCTCGGAGGGAGAATCCCATCCTGAACTTCCACGCCCCCAACAGTCCAGAACTGCATCTGAAAGACCCCTGTCTAACCATTCCCCAATTCTAGGCCTTCAAAGAACTTCAACGTGCGTTTTCCACCAATGGTTTCTAGTCCTAGTCTTCCCTTTTCGTTATACCTTCTGCCACGCGACCCTGAACATTAGACATGCGTCTCTTCACTTAGTCCGCATAACTCACACATCGTCGTCTTTATCGAATGACCCCTGACAACGCGATTTCTAGGCGGCGAAAAGACAGCACAGATGCTTGAATCTAACCTCACCAACCTCGAAAAGAAGATAGACGATCTCCTAGCGAGCTTCGAGGCTCAGGGCTCGGCGCAGCCCGAGACTAATCCGCATGCTGCCACTAGCAATCAGGAGAAAACAGCCGAAAATGGTCACAAGGAGTCTTGAATCCGGGGTCTAGATGCTTCATGTACCGAAGTCTTGTTGGCGCTCTTTATGTCTTGCGTCGAGACTTGCATGGAGATAAGAGTTTGCTGGCTGGAATTCCAAATCCCCCTCGATCATGTCGAGGGCTAGTTCCTGTACCGCGACAGATCTTTTACATTAGTGCTGCGACTGGGATGTGCAGATACCTAGACACACGGGGTCCTCACCCAACAAGTCAATTATTAGATTCTACAAGGGGAATAGATTGAAATTGTTTGATGCAAGTAATGATATTAGCACACAATCTAGAGAACGAAAAGGAATACCATGGTATCGAATAGCATCCTCCTGTGCTTTTACTTGTCTGATCTCCACGTTGCAATATTGGGAGACTGCGATTTCTCGTCTTGTTTACACAGCTGAGTAGTAATCTCTTAACTCTGACACGTACAATTCTTCTTGGAGTCATGAAGAGTATGTTCACGTACCATGCTATGCTATCCGTCTTGAGCATCAATAGAATCGCAGATACGGTATCGTATTTCAAACCTCGGTAGCGCAGGGGAAAGCCAATCATAATCATGTAGGCTGATTCTCCGATGTCCAGATTTTCACAACGATGCGGAAGATCCTTCCTTATGATGATTCCCAATCCCCGTGTATATAACAATTACATACCAATCCTTCTCTCGATTCTTATTATTTCTCTGTTCCTGCCACATTTTGAGTTCTCTTTTCTTCTCTTGTGCGTATCATATCTGGTATCTACACATGAATTGTGGAATATGGGCATATTTGCATAGATTCGCAGAGTTCTCATCCTGGAAGTGTAAGAAGTAGACTGTGTGACTTGCTTCTCCCGGGCGTGTAGGTTAGTTTGCACTATACTATACACACAATACAGCACAAAACTGGGTTCAGCCCGCAATATTTAAGACTTGTAGATATTCCTCATCTAGCCTACTGCCTGCCAGCTTTTCAGATAAGGGGTTATGTTCCACATGCAGCATGAAAAGAAAGGAAAGGGATCTTTGTTTGATCAACGCGAATGGTTCATGTAATTCACAGTTGGGTTGCTATATCCAATGTTCCAGGATATTGACATGATATGAAACCTTGGACAGCAATTTCTAGCCCCTTTTTTCGTCTCATTAAACGGCGAGGTTGGCATGCTGTTTATGCTGTTCAAGCTCCTAATCTATTTCTCAAAAACTTCTGCAATCCTTCCATTACCTCGTCCTCTACGGCACCTTTCTGCCATGTTAAACTAATTACCAATGGACCGCCTCCAAGATTCACAACATTGCATCCAATAGGGGCACCAAATACCATTCCGCATTGAGAAAATATGAGTCCATCGAGTTTTAAAGAGTTCTCTTCTGGAACTCGGTTCATTTTCACCACACCAAGGTTAGATAGTTCGTAACTTTCTGAGCGTCCTGTTGACATTCCCGCGCGGCAGTAAGACTCCAAGTCGACAATCTTCTCGACGTTTCTCAATTGTTGGACTCCGCCTCCGGCTTCGATCCTATTCAGATCTGTCGAGATCTCGCGAGTGATCTGACTTCCTATCGTGGCAATCAATGCTTCTTCTTCTGGAGATTCCTCTCTCGCACGACGGATTCTGTCCAATAGTTCGGCGTCCCACTTTGTGGTTATGAAGGCTACGTGGTTTGCTATTTCACTCAGTGGGAGTTTGCTAAATTTCCGCAGCGAGTATGGAGTGCAAGCTTTCAGACCAAGTTGGTCATTTGTCACTACCGCGCGCGCAAGATAGCTGGCGATCAAACCGTGCAGATAACCCGTGACGGTGATTTTCAGACGGCGACTTGTTTCTAATACGCGCTGGGCTTTTTCTGGGGGAATGGCCACGAGAAGGACGAGAGATTTGTAGGATTCGATGGTGGGCATGTTGGGGAAGTTTCCTGCCCAAATCTTTTCTTCTTTCTTGTCTGTGAGAGGTGCTGTGTCGGGTGCAAAGGACTCGTATCCTGCGGGGCTGATTTGCATGGCGTCCTCGATGGCTATCGGTTTTCCTATAGTGTCTGGTACATTGTACGGCCACTGTACGTCATTTTTCTCAACAGTTTCTACTGTAGCTAGTGATAATTGCTCGTGCAACGTCCGTTGAAAAGAAGCACAGCTTAATCCATCGGCAATGGCGTGATTCACCAGAAAAAGTATGTAGACTTTGTAAGTCTCATCTTCCATCTCGTGTGCAAGAACACGAACTTTCCAAGCAGGTTTAGTTTCCTGGTTGCTGAAAAGCTGCTCGTGAGATGCTCCTAGCTCTTCGCAAATACGCTTTTCCTGAGATTGAGCATCGCTGCTTGCATTCAGAGAGGAGATTGATACGAGATCGTCCCAGGAAATCTGGGAAAGTTTTTTGAAACGGGCGGGGACATTGTGGCTCTTTGAGCCTGGGAGAAGACCGTAGCAAAGTGAGGGGTGTTTTTCTATGGTTTTGCTTAGGGCGTGTTGGAGCCGGGAAATTAGTTCAGCGGTGGGATTGCGAGTGCTAGGTGTGAAACTGTAGTGGGATGTTACGGCGCAGGAACGGTAGAGACCTAGTTCGTGACGGACGGAGTAGTAGTTGCCGAGGAGTCCTGGAGTTGGTTAGCTGGATGGTTACTTTGACTGCTTGGATTGGATTGGATTGTTGTCGGTGGGTTTCTGGTGTCTTTCTTTCTGTATGATCTGGTTTATACTGTCTTGTTTTATGCTTGGGCAATCTAAACTTCGACGTGGGATGTGTGAAGGTGATGCTAAACGTGATGGGTATATACGAATTGGGGATTTGAGAATGAGATTGTGACGCACCTGCTGGGAAGGTATTGGTTTCCATTGTATTTTGGTCCAAACTAACTATTGGACTCGATGAGGTAGGATAATATGAAGAAACAAATCACTTTTTCTCGAGGAATGTCAAATGTTATATACTTTTCTCAGTGTTTGATCATTAGGACTATTTGGACATTGGATGACTCCGATGCTATTCATTCGTATTCGTGAACCTTACCGCCTTGGGCAGAACAGGGGGTTGTGCTGCATGTATCATGGTAAGCACGGGTTTATTGATTGAGAGATAAGATATGATACCTAGCTAGCTAGCTAGGTAGTGATGAATCATAATTTTGGGAATGGGGTGAGCAATTGATGGGTTTGTTGTAAGGTAATGGAGTAGAATATTGATCTGTCTATGGATTGATGATAAAGGCACGCAGGAATTGAACGCTTTATCATGTACATGTACTAACATTATGTGTTACAGTCTTTTGGGGGTTGGTAGGAATATGCTTCTCGAAAGATTACCTTGTCACTTCATCCATTCCCTGTATGCTTACTAAACTGGATTGTACGATCGTCTCCGCGTTGTAGGGAGCGGGGAACGCGGCTAAATTTAATAGCTTCACTATTGCTTAAGCGCTCTGTGGGATTATAAGCGGTTGATCGTGCAATATTCACAGCCAACCTGATATTTTATGATTTTGATATACATCCTAGCTTTCTTACTCATTCTCGTTAGGGTTTAGGAGACTATTCAAGTAGGTATATATTGTTGTACGCACCAATCTTGGCCCGATCTTTCTTTACGTGGAGAGATAACTTCGTGAATCGCTCTGGTTATGAGTTATCTCTTCCAATTCCCATTACGAATGTTTCGAGGAACCAATCCCGCGAAATTTGAATACCACAACCTCACAGAACCAGATGCGATTCGTCTCTTGATTGTGCATCCAGGTAGTCCTTCTTCTCCTATTCACTGTAGTCTCATGCATACGAGTTTGAGGGAGTGTCGATTAGATATCTATGATGGCTATACAGCACTCTCTTATGTTTGGGGAGATCCAAGGGCGAGGAAAATTGTGTTTATCAATGAGAGACCCTTCTCTATAACTGTTAATTTAGCAGATGCTCTTCTTCATCTACGCGATGAAAATCGTTCGCTTCGGTTGTGGGCAGATGCAATCTGTATTGATCAGGATAATTTGGGTGAGCGTACTCAGCAATTGGGGTTGATGAGAGAGATTTATCGGCTTGGGGGCCGGACTGTGATTTATCTCGGTGAGTCTTCTGAGGGGGTAGACACGCTGCTTGATTATATTGGGAGAGAGGGATCAGGTGCCCAGTTGTCGGAAATAGATGATCTTGCGTTTCGGGATGTACTCTCGCGTCCTTGGTTTACGAGAGTTTGGACGTATCAGGAATTGCTTCTTTCCAGAGAAGTTGTGGTTCAGATTGGGAGGTGCAGAGTTCTGTGGCAGGATCTTTGCGGGGTGTTTTTGGATGGGGATAATAAGCTTGCTATAGACTCGGATATTAAGGCTGGATATTTATCATATCAACAAGAAAGATCGGATACAGCGATGATTGATTTAGATACGCAAGAGTGTGCGACTCAGATTGATTCATCATCGCATATATCTTTCAAGCCTGCCACTCAAGCGCATGCGTATGATCTGGAAATATTGAGGAGTATGGATGTATCGCGACAGAAGTTTCAGAGCGGTGTTACTGGCGGATCGTCTCTTCTGAGTATTCTCGTATCTCGACAAGGGTCGGGAGTTTCCGATTTCAGAGACATCATTTACGGTTATCTTGCTGTTGCTGAAATTCGCTGTCCGTACAGTTACGGAATATCTTCATATTTAGATCCGAAAGATTATCTGCCGGTGGTGGATTACACCAAGAGCGTGGATGAGGTTTTTGTCGATGCGGCGTTTTACATTGCTATTTCTACCGAACCACGAAGACTCTGGGATATGCTTTTTCATTCCGAAACTACGCATCCGCATTTGAAACGAGAGGGCTTACCAAGCTGGGTACCGGATTGGACTCTCGGACGAAATGACCTGCCGAATTGTAGCTGGCCGTTTGTGGGAAACCATACCGCGGATATTCCGGCGCCTGGAGAATTGAAAATGAGCTCTAAAGTGGGACCTTGGATCATACCTGTTGATCCCCAGATTCTAACAGTATACTGTGACCTTCAAGCTATTGCCCTTGTGACCAAGACTGCTCGACCAGATTTCTCAGGATCAAAATTTGCCGAGCAGAAACACATTTTGATTGATACTTTCCACGAACTTCTCGACATGTACAAAGACAGGCCCAAATTTGACGCTCGACAGGTATGGGATCTCCACTTCAATTCCAAGCTTCGGAATCTATACAAAAGTCTCCACGTATCGTGGGAGTCTTTAGAAGTGCAGAATATTTTCTGGAAGAACCCCGATCTGCGACACTATAAACTTTTCAGCAAGGTTATGCATCAGATATTTAAATACTGCAGCAAGCTTTCCCATATCGGCGAACTTTCCGAAGCCAAGCTATGGCAGCTTCTTCATGGTTCTCCTATTGCTATTCTGCTTGTTGCGGCGATATTCCCATCTAGCGAGAGACTCATTAGTGAAAGGGCTTTTGCGCGATTCTCTAAATCTCCCTCGCTTATGAGTATTGGGATAGTTCCCTACTCGACAAAAGTGGGAGATTTTGTTCTGCATTTTTATGATGGGACGGACAATCATTCTTGTGGAGTTTTGCGACCCATGAATGATTGTAGAAATGATCATCTCGATGAAAAAATCAAGACGAAAATTGCAGTGCAGGGCTTGAGTTCTGATATTTCGATTTTCCACTGCACTTATATTGGAAAGGGCTGGGTGGATAAAGGGTGGGTGGATAAGGGCTGGGATATTAAGACGCGTGGAAATAGTGATTTGGATATAGATATGGATACATATACACACAGCAATCTCGAGAAAACCGCAGAAATTGCAGACAATAAATGGAATCCCAATTGGGATCATGCCTTAGACTCCTCCAACACACCCTCAGAATCCGCCTCAAATTTCGACTCACCACGAAAACCAGACGCAGATTCAACTCAGAATTTGAAGTTCCCCTCAGGTTCGCATCTAAATCCCATTTCTCCAGAAGCAAATCAGAAAGATGAATTTCGCATGTCATCAAAACTTCGCGAGTTCATGTCGGATGAATATTATGAGCCTGTCGATTCGCTGATGAATCTCATGAGGGGATTTGATAGGACGGTTAAAACGGCTGATTTTAATCCGGTTATGATGGTTTTGCATTGAGTGGATTTCTGAGGGTTTTGGGAGGGTCCTGTATTTATTGAGACTGGAGTTGTTGGTACATGGGGGTTTGAATGGATAATTACTTCGTCTATGGAAATTTGGAAGCGGGAATGGAAAAATTGACGCGGATATTGTATCTAGATCTTTTAATGATGTATGCAACTGTTTTTAAAGGCTGGAAGAAGGATTTAGTGGATGATTATTATAGCAGTGTAGGATATGTAGACATCAGGATACAGTTGACAGCCGTAATGCTCGAAAGATCCAGAGAATTACATGCATTAATTGGCGATGGATTTATTACGCGAGGACTCTAAGAGAACTGCTAGCGACTCCATAGGGAGCGTGTTATCATTCGACCTGCGAGTTCCCTGTTACCAATTCGAAGTAGCATCTTTTCCAAGTTGCAGGATGGATATACAGTGTATTCACCTATGGAAAGAATCGCTAGCACAGCGGTATTGAAAAGTAAAATTGAAAGATTTCTTAGATGAATTAATTGTAGTTGGATAACATAAAAATTTATTTCTCCTTTTGTTCCATTTGATAAATGGCTTTAGAGAGCACTCGTAAAATCATAAAAAATACAAAAGAATCTAATGTATCAAAGAATCTGGCGCAAGGAAGCAACCAAGAGCAGCCATCTTGATCGAAATTGATACGTCCTCAGACTGAATCACAATGAAGAGGAATAGCCACGATTACTTCAAATTTAGCATTCGATCGATCATTTCTCATTCCAGAAACAAAAACACTCTTCACAGAAACCAGCCAAACAATGCCGCCACTCCTAACAGCATACTACCCGTGACGGTGCAATAACTAACCACACTAGCTTTACTACTTCCACTTTCACTCGATACACTTGTCGAATTCGAATTCGAGTTATTGGATTTCGTGTTTATGAGTTGGAAATTGTATACACCACATCCCGTATCGATGGAACCTGATCCCGCGATTGAAGAACTGTTGTCACTGCCTGTGGATTTGTTAGTTTCTTCTTACTCTTTTCCCCCTTCAGTTATGAGAGAAGAGAGGAAGTGAAAACAAAAGTCACAACTTACACCCAGAGAAAAGATGATCATAAACGATTTCGCAGTCGCTTGCGGAACTGTTCCCCGGACAGGTTATTGCTGCAGATGTAAAGGCAAGTGAAATGATGGAGCTGGAGGTGGAATCTAAGTTGTAGTTCTTGGCAGTGGATGAAAATTTGCTAGAAGCGATTTGAGTGCAGAGTTGGGTGGTATATTTTGATAGAGAAGATATATTGAAAGAGGTTGGTGTGCTGGAATCGGTAATGCATATTGGTATTGAAGTTGCGGCGATGATTGTGAAGAAAAGAGAGAGTGCTAATACGGCTCGTGAAATCATTTTGAATTAGCTGCTATGATTCTTCTGTTCCTAGACGATTTAAGGATATGAAAACAGGTGACTATCGTGGTGTAAGGAGTTTATTTGCAGACAAATTAAAAATTCACAATCTTAGTTTCCAGAACTATCAAATAAAATCAACCCGAAGAACAGAGAAAACTCCAACGTCATAACTCTGATTGCTGCGGTGAAGATCTCAGTACATATAACTTTTCTAATCGTGTCGTTGGCCGTAACCGTCATGGTGAATGAAGGATTGCGCCAGCTGCGGTCAGATAAGGCTGCGTGGGTGCGGCTAAGCATTGCAGGTGTGTGAAATGCATGGCCACAAGATCGATTAGCTCTGTATATATTTTTCTATATATAGTTGTCATCTTTGACAATGCTTGATTTAGGCTTCTGACACATCCAGATATAAAGCTGGAATTTCTACATCAAACTGTTAACAGCATGATTGCGAATATCACTTATTCAGCCAAGAGTGACACCAAGACCAATGTTCAACATGTTCAGTTACTCACTGTACATCTTTAGCAGAGGCTGTAATCGAAGATCGTAATTGCTATTCTTGAAGAGATCGTTTCAGAAATATTCCTTCTGAAAGGATTCAGGATTAGTCGCGATGAATGTATCTTTTGGCTACTGGCCATATAATGTTAGATCGACCCCAACTTTAGGCTCGTGCTATTCCTCCACATTGCCGTCATTGTAAGCGTCTAGTATTTTTGGGATTCATTAAGAGAAGTTAAATTGATACTACGATAGATGTAGGAAAAGAAGACAAAAGACAATAACGGGATTGATAATGGGGTCAACAACGAAAAAAATTACAATTTAAAAAAACGTAAAAGCAAAGAAACGATGTGATACCCCAACATTAACTCATAAAACCTATTTGCTGCAGTAAAGGATTCCAGGAGACCCCGACAGGAGGTTCTCATATCAGGCCACTGTGCGCGAACTAATTGCTCCTCAGCTTTTCTCTTCTGCACGCAGCAGTTTTGTGAATGTTAGGATGCGCTTCAGCCTCGGTGTAGAAGTTGCTTATTTCCTTATCAATTATGCATTGTTGGGGAAAGGCGCAGGAGGATCTGACAGGACCCCACGATACTTTGTATCGGAGCACAGTCATGTTGATATGGATGTACTTGTTGCCAGGGAATTATTATACGGCGAAGTAAAGATCCCAGAAGCTGTTCCGGTTTTCGAGTTCGATTTGCTGCCTATGAAGCGTCAACGCAGCTTAAAGGTTAGATGGCCTGAAAACGGGAATCCCCAATGATTGCGACAAAACAATAGAACTAGCTTAATGTGTCAATACTGTACCGAAACTACGTGTCGAAAGTTTATTTAACCAGATGCAAAATTTCATCTCAGTGTGCTGATACCAAGAATGAAAGAAAGCGTTCTCGCCATGGTAGAATCGTAGATGTTGATGGTGGTAAGCACTCATGCAACCTTTCTACACGCCCTAGAATCTTTAGCGAATCTGATACGATGTGATCAACAAAACCCATAATCAACCATGTTTCTCTCCATAGCTAATGGCACTGTATTTGTGACGATTCATCTGTCTTTTGCACTTTCCCTTTCTGGTATGATCTGTGGTGTTGTATCAAGTTATTGTTGAGAGACTGATTAGTATAATAACCTACAATGCGTGACCTGAGCGAGAATCAACCTTAACTTCCTCCGATGGTTAGATAGGTATTTTGTCATCTCTAACGGCTCTCACTGAGCACAAAGATCAAAACCGTCGACCAATGTGGAAACCAATGGGCTATGAATAGTCACCCTTGTTGCATTCCCCATCCTATAGTATGTGAATGTGTACATACTACAATATAACTGTCCGGCATGTCTGTTTAACTAGCGCGAATCAGCAGAGTATGTAAGATCTACGTACCCCGCTGAGCCTGCCCCACCAAATTTCGACAATGAATGTTGACGTCAGTATACAAATTACAACATAGCAATACATAAACGCCCATCATCTGTCTAATCGTTGAAATGCATTTAAACACCAAAAGCATGACACAAATGTATGTTAACACTGACTATGTCATTAAACTCCGTCGAAGTCCATCTAATATATCACAAACAGTTTCCCCTCCGCATTTAACTTGTGAATTCTCTCGCCTTTCCTTTCTCAGGAAACACTTGCTATCTCATTGAACTCCTCTCCTTTCGTCCACCTCTTTCTTTTGACCATCTCGATTCAAATACAAGTGTATATCGAGAAAAACAATAACAATCAAGACCCCAGCCAAATAGAGCCATCTATTTGCTTCATACAATTTTCTAGGCGTAGACATGGGAGTGTGGAAGGATCGGGGCCTCTTTCGAAATTGCTGGTGCTTTTGTTCGTATGTCAAAGTTGTCGAGTGTTTGAGACGGTACTGAAGGGATACATGAGATTGGATAGCTTTAGGACCGAAAGTATCATATTGGGATGAATGATGATTAGAACTCAAGTATGGTATTGGACGGGTATTGCAATGGAGGTTGCGGGATAATGAAACCCGGTGCAATGAACGAACATTCAAGACAATTGGTGTTTGAAACGTCTTGAAAATGCTCATGTTTATTGTAATTTGAGATGGATAAGTACTGCACACCGTTTTTGTTTGTAGAAATCCTGGTATGGGATGGAGTTCGAAGGATAGTGTGGGTGACAACTCACAGTGCCGGAAGCTAGAAATAGTTTCTCCTAGCTTCACACTACAAAGATGCCTTTCGATGTTAACCTTTTCACGGGTGCTTGAAATTTCCAAATGTCTTTGGAAAATCAATTTTATCTTTTTTTCGTTTCTGGTACTTCATCATTGCTCTATCTCCCCGAGTAAACTGAGGGGGGTCTTCTTCTTCAAATGGACTATGTGGCTGGTTTTTTATACATAAATGTCTTATTCAATTCCAGATAATGGTCAATCATTGATTATGTCCCTTGAATACTATAGATCGAATGTCTCTAGTAAATCATACTATACCTCAGATCTCTCCAAGCAAATTGAGAACCCGTTCATCATGTTTTTCACGTATTCAACACATTGAGCGAGTTTTGTTCGATCAGTTGAGATGGTACATTCTCGTCTTCACCTTTCCTCTTGAGATTTCAAAATAATCATCCGGAACTTTGAGGTTACTTCATACACTACATGCATGTGGCAGTAAACATCTTCACAGAAAAACATGATAGACCAAATCGTTGAAAAAGTGATGTGTTCTACCGAGCGCTGTTCACACCCAGATTCATGTACATGACCTGGACTTGGATCTTCCGTTTGGAAATTTGTTTCGCGATAGTGGGATACTGTCAGTCCTCTGCCGCCTTCCGTTTTCCCCCTTTAAGACGCGAAGTTTCTAATTTCTTAGCAAGGCCATCATTATTGCTAGACTCAGATGCCTATCTTCTGTCTCGGATGTGCTTTTACCTCAATGTACCAATAGAAGACTGGATTCTTGTTTTCCCGTGGAAATCATAACACTTCAAGGATACAGAGAAATTGTAGTCTGTTGGTGAAGGTAGTTTCAGTGTCTTGTCGAGGGGCTCAAGGAGACAGTCAGGTTATGGTTTGTGTTCTCTGGGGAAAACTTCACAAGTCCAAGGGCATACCCAAGTTACGATCGACTGAAGAGGAGATCCAGGTAAGGGCACAGTCAGAGCATGATTTCTGTTTAACGGAGAAAAATATAGCGCTTTAAGTACAACTCAATCCTGATCTGTAGGTAACGATAATCCCAATACATCGGCAACCAAATCAGGACTCGTACCTGGAACCCAGGACTAAAAGAGCATATTCAAATTACGATCGATGGGAGAAGAGACACTACCATCTCATCATATCAAGGGCGTAGTCGAGTTATTACTCATTGAAGATGAGCATACTCCAGTATACTGCACTGCCATGTCAAAAGCACAGCCAAACTATAAGTTATCTCCAAACGTTCCAGTACTTGCATATCCATTCACGCCAAGCACATATCCACCTCACAATCCAGCACTACGATTTATCCCACCTTCATTCCCAGCCGCATAACTAACCCGTACTCTCAAGTCTTCTCATCAGAAATATCGCATCAGCTTGAAAATCCATCTAAATCCCATCTCCTGCAATCCCACATACTCCACACCAGATCTGGAGTCCTAGAGACACGTATATAAGATCTTACTATGCTTGTAAATCACACTTCGGAGAGAAGAACATATCCCTATACCTATACCTATACCTATACCTATACACACACATATATAAACCAACCACAACACATAAAATGAAATGAAATAAACGATAAGTGAATAAATCAACCCCATCGCTCCGATTCCAGAATCCGGAATGGGGAATCAACTAACCAGCTCTAACTACCTAACTCACCATAAGCAATCTATCTCGACATGCGTACTCACTCACACTCACAGAACCTCTCATCTCTCCCCCAACTCCAACCTTAAATCCAGTATATCATATCATATCACATCCCAAGAAAACTCAAATACCCCATACATCCACACTCCTCTCTCCGCAAAGCTACCCAAACCCAACCCAAACCCAACCCATACCCATCCATACCCAACCAAACCCCCATCACCAATCCGAAAAAAGAAAAAAACCACTGAAATCACACCCCTCCCCTAACCCTCACCAGCGGTAACCAGGGTAAACCATTCATCCCATCCCATCCCATCCCATCCCATCCCATCCCATCCCCTCCCTTCCTCATCCCCACTTCCAACCAAGCAAGCGAGAACAAATCACCGGCAAAACACTTACCCGACGATACGCAAAAAAGTAGGTATGAGACTTCCTCCCCTCCCCTCCCCTCGCCTCTCTCTCTCATCTCATGGTGATCTCATCCCAAGAACATTACTACTGATTCATTTTTCATTGTTGCATATCGTATTTTTGTTTGTTTGTCCCGAGGTAGTTATTTAGTTATTCTTTTCTTACTTATTAGTTGCATGTACCAGATGAAGATTGCTGGTTACCCACCTAGTATCTTACTTCTCGGCTATGTGAGAGCAAGTGTGCATTGGAATGCATGGGGAAACAATACTGAATCATGTAATACCTATCTAAAGAACTTGGGAATACGAACCGCTTCGAGTGAGGTTTTGATGTTTAGAAAGATTTGAAATATCAAGAAAGTTGAATGCCCGCTTCGATTGGGATATCAAAAAATAGCAATTTCAAGATCATAAAGTTGCACAGGTATAGATTGATTAATACATGTTCATTAATAATATTAGCAATGGTTACCTCTGTTTGTAAATTGCTTGGATACAGCTCCTAAACGCCTTGCTGAATAGCCGGCAGCTGATCATGGTGTAATCACCTCACTCCATTCCCCCAGATGTATCGATATTTCCATGACTTAAACCGTATCTCCATCCATCCCTAACCTAGTCCATTCCCAAGTTCGTACCTGCATTAGTATAACCCATTAATCAATACGTAATAATGTGACTAAAGTGTCCCGGAACTTTGTTCCGACACTTGTCACAATCCGCCCTATACCCCATACTGAAGCTCTTCTTTGTCCCCACACCGTCTAAATTTCCCATGAGCTCCCCAGTGGATCCATTCCAGTTCCGCAAACTATGTTTTGAACGAGTATGGCCTTTCTTGTGCGGAGTCGGAGTTTCTTTCTCAAATTCGGGAGAGGGAAAAGAGGGTTCAACTTCCATTTGCATATCGTTGATGCCGTTGACAATGACACTAGGGCTCATTTCGCCTTCGCTAATGGGGCTGGGTAGGCGTCGACCGCGACGAAAGCGATCGATGAATGCGTCATCGGTGAGATTTGGTTCGGAGAGAATGGAGTGGAGTGGTTTATCAAGTCGGGGATAAGCTGAGAAGGAACTATGAATTGGGGTAGGAATTCGGTTGGCTAAGCTAAGAGAGGAATCTGGCTGGAACGGACCGGGAGCTAGATGCATGCCACTATCGGTCATATCGAAATCATCCGAATAAGTTGGCCCTTCCGACATTTGACTTGAAAATGAGGTTTCGCTGTTGTTCATTTGTTCGTCATCATGCGGTTGTGTGGCCGTTATTAGCGGCGATGAGGTCCATGAATAGTGAGAATTCGTCGGCTCTGCAATGGCGGGAGTTCTCTCCGAGTTTGAGTCTGCGGGAGTGATTGTGGGAGGTGCTGGTGTGTAATGATTGAGCGCAAAAGCGGGTGCAATCTGACGTTTGGCATGTGGTAAAGATCGATGCGGTAGGTTCGCTAGATGACGTTTCTAATCAAGTCATACGTTAACATTAAGATTCTGTTGGTGATCTGAAACTGAAGTGAATGCAATGCTTACAGTTCTGTGAGCCCCAAAACCTGAAGTACTTAGTTCATCCTCATCATCTCTTTCGCGCTTCCTACTCGGCCACTGTGGTACGAACATGTTGATAAATCTTCCACGAGGTTGTCTTATGGATGTAAGAGGTATTGATGTATGTTATTGTGTAGGGCAGATAGATAGTTAAGAAGGAGGTGGCAAGGCTGGAGAGGATTCAGCCGCACCAAAGAAGGGTTGTATTCAAACAAGTAACAATCAATGGACGCTCAAGACATTTGAATGAAGAAGCAGGAACGTGATGGTAATTTTGAGAAGAGTCGGTCAAAGGCCTTTACAAACCAATTGTAAATACTGTAGTATAAACCCAAGTCGAAGTAAGTCATTGGCACCTAATTGGTAATTACTTGACAGGGCTAGATGGGTCGCATCGTAAAATAGTGGTGAGTTTCATAAATGCTTCATCGTGTACTTTGATGTTTTGAGATTCTTCTAGGCTCACTTGGTCACTAGATTTCTGGGGAAACATCTTTTTACTGTGTAGAAATTGATAAGGCTAGACTCTTTTGGGTTTAGATCGATGATAATCCGAATCATCAGACAAGGCTGAGAGATTTTAACGTTAGAGCTTCTAAGGTACAGGTATCGTTATCAGGGTTCACCAGTTCGATCGACAGTACCGGTAGATCTTCTTATCAATTTGTCTCTTTCAAGGTGCTTCTCATCCGAAAAGATATTCCTAACGTTGGAAGTAATTGTGATGTCCGTTGATGGTATGCTTATAACAATAGCCTTTATTGTTATTCAAAATCGGACGAAAATCAACAGATCATTCTTTCCATACTAGCTCAGACAAGAATGTGCAGACCATCGCCTGTGTATGCGATTTCAGATGAGAGCGTACAATGAGTTTCTTACCGTCTCTTCCAGTCGTGTCGAGGAGAGAGTTCGAGAGAGAGAGAGTTTGAGAGAGAGAGAGTTTGAGAGAGAGAGTTCGAGAAAGAAAGAGTTTGAGAGAGAGTTCACATACTATATCGTCTGCAATTGCCCATCTATCATAGGTAACCATCGATAATGGAAACCCGATTCGGAGATGCGTGAATTCCCACAAGCAGTCAAACCGGCCATGAGAGCGTTAGACTCCCAAAAGCAATATCAGCTTATGTTGTCCAACCTGGGTCTGTCCTGAAGATATAAACCTTCGTGAACGGGCATATTGTGGAGAGTGCGAATAATAACGCCGTGAGCCTTTCAATTGACATAGGGATACCTATATACAACACACTAGTTATACACCGGATGATTTGTGAGATGTTCTTGGTAGGAACAATTCAATTTGAAGTTTTTCATGCTGTTAATAAACTAAACGTTGAATCTAAATCCATACATCAGATGGATACTTTAGACATCTGTCAATCTGACATGCTCACGGAATGCGACGCGCAGACCTAAACCCTTGATATTACTAGAATAATCATTCAAACCCTTTTATCAAATCCGAGCTTTCTTCTTGGCTGGAGATGCCACTGCATGTCTAATTATCGGACAACATCCACACTTTTATTTGTCAATTTAGTCCGAGCGTACCACTTTATGAACTTTTTCCAGATCCACCTATAATTTTTGACCTTGACTCACTTTACACAACAGCTCGACAACGAAGCAACTCGATACAATCTCACACCAAAAAAGAACAACAATTGTATTACCATTGATTTAAGAAGTCAAGTCAGCGTCAGACAAGATCTATAAGATCCCCCATCACATTTCCTCCTTTTTATATCATATTCATTTCTCAAACAAGATGCCTCAACTTGACTTCGAACCCCTCGTCACTGACGACACTCGAAGTATGACCCCGCCAAAAAATCAAATTCCTTCTCTTTCTTCAAATATAAATACTGATTCTCTTACCAATCTTGTAGTTCTGGGTCAAGACCCTTTGATTCCTCCTCAATTACTCGTCTCCGAAATCCCCATCACAAATGATTCTCTCAAGACTGTTGTGCAAGGTCGTAAAGATGCCGTCGAGATTATTATGGGTAAAAATGACCGTCTCTTGGTCGTCGTCGGTCCTTGCTCCCTTCATGACCCCAGTACCGCTATCGAGTACGCAAAAAGACTAAAGGATCTTGCCGATAAATTGTCAAGCGATCTTTGCATTATCATGCGTGCCTACCTCGAGAAGCCCCGCACAACTGTCGGATGGAAAGGTTTGATCAACGACCCTGATATTGACGAGTCATTCAAGATCAACAAGGGCTTAAGAATCAGTCGTCAACTCTTCTGCGATCTCACCAGCACCGGCATGCCCATTGCAACTGAAATGCTCGATACCATCTCCCCACAATTCCTCGCAGATTTGATCTCACTTGGTGCCATTGGTGCAAGAACCACCGAATCACAATTGCATCGTGAGCTTGCATCCGGTCTCTCTTTCCCAGTCGGATTCAAGAACGGTACCGATGGAAGCTTGACGGTTGCAATTGATGCCATTGGATCTGCGGCTGCCAAACATCATTTCATGGGTGTTACAAAACAGGGTCTTGCTGCTATCACCAGAACTAGTGGCAACGAGCACGGATTCGTTATCTTGCGTGGTGGTACCAAGGGTACCAACTTCGATGCTGAGAACGTCAAGCTCACCAAGGATACTTTGACCAAGAAGAACCAAAAGCAAGCTATCATGATTGATTGCTCTCACGGTATGTCTTTTCTACACAATCTCGCATGTAAAATTCTCTAACAAACCTACCAGGAAACTCAAACAAGGACCACCGCAACCAACCCAAGGTAGCCCAAGTTGTCGGCGACCAACTCCGTGCTGGTGAAAAATCCATCATCGGTGTTATGATCGAGTCCAACATCAACGAAGGCAACCAAAAGGTGCCTGCCGAGGGACCATCCGGTCTCAAGAAGGGTGTCAGCATCACCGATGCTTGTATCAACTGGGAATCCACCGTCGAAGTCCTCGAGCAACTTGCCGATGCTGTTCGAGAACGCCGCAAGCATTCTTCTGCTTAGATTTACGGGGGTATATGTTTGAACGAATAAAAAGTGCTCGGTTAAATTTTTTATTGGGAAAATATGCGAAGTATGGCGTATAATGGAGTTTTTACTGCTCGTCACGATTTGTGAATTGGTTCTTCTGGACATGTTGTGGATCTTGAGAGCTTTGATATCAAAAAGGAAAAAATGAAACATACTCCCTTGGACAGAATTTCTCTTTGTATCATGCTATTTTCCATCTCTGACAGTTGGTGGCAGTGTCTCAATTTTGGGTTGATTCCCTTAAAAATGGTCCTGGATATTCAACTTCATCCTTTACAGATCGAAAAGTCACAAAAAGCAAAGAAGACTGATCACTGATCTTGATCTTGGATATGGCTATGATAATTGCGTGAAAGCAGTCAGCACATAAATTGAAACGTATTGAGATCAATAACTATTAACGCCTGCGCTTATCCAAGTCATGCATGCAATACCCTTTTTTTGATAATTTTGTGCGTGCATGAGTAATACCTAACCAAGTAGAGCCAAGATGATATTATAGTAGACAATCAAAGTCTACTACTCTTGTCCGAATCCTTGATCGCCACAATATCCTCCGCCTTCTCAACAGCACCGCTCTCCTCTGCCGGCGGCATCGGAGCAACCTCATCCACGACCCCCTTGACAACTCTCATATTCACAAACCCTTCATCAGGACTTGCCCACGCAAAATCGCGATACTCCCCAAGGATTTCCCTAACCCCTTTCGCTAATGCTTCCGTCTCTTCTCTCCTCTTCAAACTCCATTGCTTCTCAGCTTCCGTGACTTTTCGTCCGGGTATATCGATCCCGTCCAAGACACTGTTCCACACTCGTAGAGTTTCCTCAAACTCTCCTATGTTACTCACACCCATGAGGGATACCCCGATAGGTTCCGAGCCGACTTTACCATCGAGAGCCCAGCGTTCAAGACCCCACCGTATAGCCACAACTTCCAATCGCTCCCCTCGCTCCTCCACCCATCGCGCCGCCTTCTGAACACGAGAACGTAGTTCCTTGGGCGCTGGATGCCAATCCTCCTTCCCGTTGTCGGGGACCCCGGAGCTGCGTAGAAGACCCATGCCCAGAACCGAAGCATTGGGCACGCAATCCACGCCTGCTTTGCGGAGACGAGCAAGCCCGCTGGTATATAGAGAGTGATTCTGGAGCGTGAAGTTTGCATAGCTCATTACGCAATTGAGAGGTTTACCCGTCTCGCGCAAAATCATTTCGGCGGTGGAACAGAGAACCGGGACGGGATATCCTGAAACTCCAATGTAGTGGATTATGCCTTGAGCCTGGAGCTCGCGCAGACACTTTATGGCCTCGAGGACTTCCGAGGGAGAAACAAATTCGACGTCGTGGAGATAGACGACATCGAGATAGGACGTGTGGAGACGGGCGAGGGAGCGGGAAATGGAATATTTGATCCATGCGGGAGAGTAATCGAATTCAGAAGCGGCGATGCGACCGCATTTTGTTATGAGGTAATAACTGGAGCGGGGGTGATTGGCGAGGATTTGTGGTTGTTGGAGGGCGCGACCTGCAGGTAAGTTAGAACATGGGCTTGGAGAGATAGAGTGAAGGGCGAAAATTGACAGAAAGAGAGAATATATTCATACCTAGAATTTCTTCAGAGGGACCATAGTATGGAGAGGTATCAAAGGCATTTACGCCCGATTCTAATGCTCTTTGCACAATAGCATTTGCAGGGAGTGCGAAGGGATCGGCATTATATTGAATATTGAAAGTTCCGGTGCCGCAGATGAGAGGTGGAAGAAGTGTTGAAAGGGGTGGGCGAGTTGTCATATTGAATATGGGTAACCCGAATGTAGCCGTGCAGTGTGTTCTTGAATGGTGTTTAAGAGTACCTATGTTCGAGCGATTTGAAAATGGACAGAAAAAAAAAAGAATGTATGTAAGTCTGAAAAGAAGAACGAACGAAGCTGGGAGAAGAAGGAAAATAAAAGAGAGAATGAATGAATGAATGATTCTAGTTAGTCACCTTTTTGTGAGAATTGTCAATGTGCTGCTGCCACAGTCGTTTGAGTGAATATGAGAGACCAAAAATGTATTGG